ATGCTGGGATTCATGATATCGACTTCCAGCCCTTTGGAGGAAAGAGAGAGGGCGAAGAAACAGGAAGGAAAGGGGACAAGAAATAGAAGAAAAGAAAAGATAAAAGAGCAGAAGGAAAAGAAAAGAAAAGAAAGGCTTTGTGCCTCTCGATCTAGTCAACCTAGTTATAAATTCAGTGTCAGAAGCACACGGTTGTAGAAGATACTCAGGGTGGTGATTTCATCAGGCAGATCTCTGACCTTGGTTGGCTTTTGCATTCTTCGCGTCGTTCACAAAACGGCTCAGGGGTGGAAGCAATCACAGTAAGGCCCCCCTAAGTTTGGCAGAAGATCCATAAATATTCATTAAACGTGATCGAATACTCCTTAACTTTGCGAAATAATCATCAACCCAGCACTAAAAACGCCTGATGCCCAGAGCAAGTACCCGCCAGCAAGTAATTACAAACAGAGAACGTAGCAACTGCGGTATCTTTGGAAGCCCAAGCCAACATCAAGTTCACGTGTACACGCTCTCCGTCCAGGCGTTGACCTGCAGACCCTTCTCCGCCATCTCGGCATCCTTCAAAAAGTCCAGCGGCATCCACACGAGGTGGCCCTTGATCTGGTCGAGATACCTCCGGACCTCGTCGGCCGGCATGAACTTGTCGTAGATGTGGCCCGACTTGACGCCCTTGGGGGGCAGGAACATGTTGTAGTCATCGAAGGTTTTCACTTTTGAGCAATCACTCGTCAGCACGACATCTCTCTCGCAATTAGGAGCGGGCAAGGCTGAAACTCACCATGGTCATCTGGATCCGCCCTAAACAGCCGCCTAAACAGCTCCGTGTTGGTTGTCGCCTGCTCCGTCCACCTCTTCCACACCTCGTCCGACATGGGGTCCTCGACAAACTTGTAGCTGTCCTCCTGATCCAGCACATTGTTGGGCGAGTCGTCGCCCGGCGGCTGCGCGTTGGGGTCCTCGGAGGCGTCCAGGTCCTGCGGGGGCAGCAGGCCCAGGTGCTCGCGCCATAGGTACCGCCGCAGCGTGGCGGCGTGGTACCCGGCTTCGAACGGCTGCCCGTCCATGGTCGACTTGATGAGCCTGATGTCCTCCATGACGATGCTGAGCTCCGAGTCGTGCCCGCCCTCCTGGCTCCGGTCGTTGAGGTTGCTGCTTCCGCAGACGACGATGCGGTCGTCGACGATGAGCAGCTTGGCGTGGATGTACAGCTCTTCCTGGATCCAGTTGGCCACCTCGTCCTTGGGGTCGCCCTCCCAGTGCTCCTCGGACAGGGGGCCCGTGTCGGCCATGGCGTGGTGCGCGACGCTGAATGCCGTCGAGGGTCCGTCCTCTCCCTCGCCCTCGTTCTTGCCCTGGCCCGCGGCCTCGAAGCGCCGCTTGGCGTCGATGGCCTCCTCGTCTGCGTCGGACTTCTGCTCCTCCTTCTTAAAATCCTTCTTCTCCTGCGCGTTGGCCTGCTCCTTCTTCTCGCCCATGTGCTCGTCGCGGCCGTCGGAGGGGTCGACGGTGCCGTGGATGCCCTCGCCCATGATCTCCTCGGCCTCGGCGCGCTGCACCTCCTGGTACTTGACACCCGACTCTTCCTCCTGCTTCTTAATGGCCGGCGTCTTGTTGAGGCGGTCGTAGCTGCGCAGGTTGAAGAAGAAGATGTGGTCCGTCGGGTCGACGCCCTCGGCCTTGATCTGCTCGAAGATGGAGTGGGGCCCGCGGCAGATACTCTTGTACTGGTAGTCCATGATGGCGCGGGTGCCGGTGGCGGCGTCGTCGCGCAGGTCGCCGGCGAAGCCCGGGATGGCAGGGATGAGGATGATGACGCGGAACTTGCGCTTCTCCTTGCCAGCGCGGACGACGGCGTCGACGATGGCGCGGCCGATGGTGTTGTGGATGGGCGATTGCTGGTCGCCGGTGGCGGTGATGAAGAACTGGTTCTCGATGTAGACGTAGTGCTGCGCGTTGCGGATGATGTCCGAGTAGGCGTTCTGGATCGACTTGTCCGTCAGGATGCCGCTCGACCAGTCAGCGCTCGAGCGCACCAGCTGCGCGTGGACGGTGCCGCGGTCGTCGAGGTTCTTGGTCTCGAGTGGGGAGAGCGGGTGGACGACGTAGTCGCCGACGGGGTGCTTGGGCCGCTGGACGCCGACCAGGTCCTCGTCATCGCCCTGACGGCCGCGCAGCTCGAGCCAGTCGAAGCGCTCGTCGCGCTTGTACTTGTCGCGCTTGACAAAGTTCCAGCGCAGGACGAAGTGCTCGGCGATGTCGTACACACAAGGGCCGACGATGCCCATGGCCACGTCGTGCCAGGGCATGCGGCCGTACTCGGCCTTGCTCAGCTCGTTCTGCTTCCAGTCCTGCACGTTCTTGAAGTCCATGACGCGGTTGTTGTTGAAGTCCTGGCCCGGCCAGACCTCGTTGGCGACGCCCTCCGGGTGGACGTCGGAGAGCAGGTGCTGGTGGGCGTCCCAGCGGCCGAAGCACATGTCGAGGCCGCCGATGAAGGCCATCTCATAGTCGATGACGACGAACTTCTCGTGGTGGGCCCAGTAGAAGGTCATGTCGGCGGCGTTCTCGAGCACGTTGTGGTCCGGGTGGCGCATGATCCTGATGTTGCCGTAGCCCTTGGACCCTTCGGGACACAGCGCCTGCAGGGCGTGCTTCGTGTGCTCGGAATTACATGTCAGGGCCGCCTCGACCTCGCGGTAGACGCAGACGTAGACCTTGACGCCTCTCTCGGCCGCGCGCTTGATCACCTGGTCCAGCCGCCATTCCTGGTTGTAGTAGGGCGGCCGACGCAGGAAGAGCTCGGGTGACAGCCACCAATCGGCGATGTAGATGGTCTCTTTCGCCTTCTCCATTGCGACGGACACGGCCCAGAAGTAGTCGCGGCCGTCGACGTACCACTTGATCATGTTGCCATCGCGCTCGGGAAAGAAGGACTGGAAGCGATGCGACTCGCAGATCTTTGTCCGCTTGTCATCGCAGGCCTTCTCGTGCTCCTCATCGTGCCTGTGCTGGGGATTGAACTGTTTGCGCAGCTCTCATGTCAGCTTGCTATGGTGTGCGCGCGCGACGGGCGCAAACAGCGGGGTAAGTTTAGAGTGCAGTGGGTGGTGTCATGTTGGTGCTGGTTCTGCGCCTACCAGGTTTGCAAACTTGCCGATCTGATGTCTGTCTCGTGTCAATTGAAGTGCTTCATAATCGCAATTGATGCTCAGGAATGTGTGCGTACTTCTTATGAATCAGGCCGACCTTGGTGTCGTGCAGCGAGGTGTGCTCGAGCTTCTCCTTCAGCTCGTGGAAGGGATGCTTGAGCCTCTCAGACAAGCTGCTCCCCTTGGACTCGTGAGGCTCGTGGGTTGCCATCGTTGCATGCGATCTGTCACAAGCATGGAGGGAGTGAAAGGTGCCGGTGTCAGGAATTACCTTGGGTTCCGCGTGAAAGAAGAAGCTGGAGCAGGTGTGGACAAATACAAGACACACTACGTGGAGCTAGAGAGCATAAAGTACACCAGGTATCGCGGGTACGACAAGCAGCCGCCTTCGCAACCTCGACCCATGCCAAGCTCAAGCCATGCCAAGCCTGCGAGAACGAAAAGGAACGGCGGCTTCACCGACTGGTCGGACCAGACTCCAAGAACGGACAAAACATGGCAGGAACTGGCACACTGGCACAGGGCACAGGGCTGATGGGTGGTGCGAATCAGGCGATGTCATCGCCCGCCCGCCCGCAAGCATGCAAGGTCGAGCCCCGATCCACGCGGGCGAGGTACGGCGAACGTGGGGCAAGGTTGCAAACATGCAAGCTGGAGCCCCAATCTTCGCATCTTTGGACTCCGTTGCCAATCTCCCCTGTTCAGCTGGAGATGCAACGCGATCGGCCGAGCGAATCAAACCCCTACGAGCGTCTCTCCTCCATTCATCTCCACGTCCCAAGGGTCTAGGACTCAGTGGATCAATACTTTGTTAGATCCTGCCGCCGTCTCGATGCTATTACTGACATCCCGATCCAAGGATTCTTCAGGCACTCCGCACACACATGGACCAAACACCGCCGCCAAGGGACGATCTTACATGACGTCAGCGGGGTATGTCCCTAGTGTTTCAGGGAGCTCGAAGGCGCGCCGCGGTACTCCGTCCACTCTGGGAGACCTTGATTCCACAGCATCATTCGAGAAGGCTGCCTGCATCTTCAATGCGGCAATGGGTCGTGTGCTAGTCCATGCTCATCCAGTCTGCAAACCTGTTGTTCTCCCTCCCACCTGTTCCGGCCTTGGCGCATGTCATTCCAACAACCCAAGCCGGCTCTGCTGTGCCGAGACGCTGGGTCAGAACAAGCTTTTAGGCTGTCTGCCTTACGGGTATCAATGATGTTCAGCTTCGGTCCCGTGTCCTTGTACACTGGGTCGTGTAATACATCCAGGATGATGTCGTGAGCGCCGGGTGCATGAGCCGGAGAGAGAATGGATTCAAGCCAAGTCGCAGAGCACGAAAACGAATGAGCGGCGGGCCGTCGATGGGGTTCCGTCCAGCGCTGCCGGCATTCGAATCAGAAAGCGGATATGCTCGCTGAAACAGCACATGCATATACTTCGTAGCATTGCACCTAGGATTGAATTGGACATTCATTTGCCCTTTGCAATTGTCGAGGCGGGCGATATTTGGGGCATTCGCCGCATCTGAGATCGGGCTGGCAGTGGCAGCAGAAATGGTTCCAAAATTGGCAGCTGCAAATGACGCCACAGGGAGATGAAAGCCACTATCATCACATGACTGCGCTGGAGCAGAGCCCTGGAACTAACTAGGGGACGTGGCGCCAGAGCAACGTGGACACCACCGCGTTATGCGACTTCGGGAGGGGCAAGCTCGCGACCTCAACCCCACAGCTTGACCGCTCTCCCTTTGCAAGCATCTGGGATCTCGCACCTCCCTTCGTCCACCTCCCACAGAGTATCAATTGAAGCATATAGAAGCTTGCGCTGCAATATCTTTCTTCCTTCATAATGGCTGCTGCAATCCCTCCCGGAGGCACCCTCCTCGACACCTTCAAGAAGTCCTTCGTCGATGTCCCTATCGATGCTGAAAAGGACAATGCCATCTCCACCGCCGAGTTCCTAGAGGCTGCCGAGTCTCTGACCACCATGTTCGGTAGGGCATACTTGGTTCCAGACATGGCTGCAAGCGGTTGATTGACCTGTTACACAGATGTCCTTGGTTCCGTCGCCTTTTCCCCCGTCAAGTCCGACATGCTCGGCAACGTCAAGGTGCGTTTACGTGGCCAGCTACTCCCAACACCCGACACCGCCCCAGCGAGACAGGGCCGGCTGGTTCAAACCACATACTAATGATGCTTCCCTCATAACAGAAGCTCCGTGACCGCTTCCTGGCTGCCCCCCTGGAGTCTGAGACCATCCAGAGCCTCTGCCTCAACGAGCTCAAGACCAAGAAGCACACCGCCACCGAGGGTCTCCTGTGGCTGACCCGGTATGTCTTGCCTCTACAACAATATCTACACTTCCACCCATAAGCTCTCAAAAGACTAACCTCTTTGCCCTGCCACAGCGGTCTCGAGTTCACTTGCCTCGCCCTCAGCCAGAACGTCTCCAAGCCTACCGAGGAGCTCTCCGACTCCTTCCGCAGTGCCTACGGCGTCACCCTCAAGCCCCACCACGGCTTCCTGATCAAGCCCGTCTTCAGCGCTGCCATGAGCGCCTGCCCGTACCGCAAGGACTTCTACTCGAAGCTCGGTTCCGACCAGGAGAAGGTCGCTGCTGAGCTGAGGACCTACACCGCCGCCCTCGACAAGATCGTTGCCATTCTGAAGGGCTTCCTGGAGCGCAAGGAGGCCAAGTGGTAAACCTGCAGGAAGATTTGCGCGCCGCGGCAGCCGCAATATTGTTCTGGGCCTACATTCGGAGACGCATACACGCACACACAAGGGCGGTAACGAGGGAACGTACATTGACGGAGGACGAAAAAAAAAGATAGAATGGCCATGAAAACGAAGCCAAACGATGTATGCAGACTTGAACCCATACGACGTACCATGCTTTATGAGCTCTCACTTCTCATTGTCATCTCGTTATTTCCATGTGTTCGCCTGTCACAGATTAGTGGTCTCTGCGCAATCAAATGCTGATGTTGCCGCTGTTCTCGGACAACCATCCACAGCTTACAAGTGACCTTAGGCTTAGGCCTAGGGCTATAGCGAGTTGGAACATTGCCTTTGATGGATGGGTAAGGAAAACATGATTTTCTTACGACTGAACACTTTAGCTTTAGCTTTTACCATGATAGCGACCGTGTTGAATTAATGTCCGTGCTGTGGTGCGGAGGAAGCACAGTCACCAACTTAGGGGGATACACTCGACGTCACAGAGCTTCTTTCTAACTTCCACCCTCATAATCCTTCTGATCTTTTATCATGAGAAGCTCTGGATCGACTCCCATCCAGCTTCATCAACCCGCACGAGCACCATGTGGAGATGTGGAGGTCCACGCGGGGTCTGACCGGGGTCTTCCCCAACTACAACTACTCATGTCGGTCCATCATGGAAAAATATCTTTCCACCCATACAGAAGGCCTGCATGCATCCAGACCAGCTGGGGTAACCAGAGAGCCTCTGTGGAACTATTCCCCATTCTGGCAAACACCACGCACCAACGGCGCCGCTTGTCATCTTCAAGGTGACAGGATGGGCCTCCACAACCAGGATGAAGCAATTGACAAGTCTACTAGATCGAGCTTCCGATCCACGAGGATACTAGTGGGCTGCCATCTCCAGAATTCTCGGCTGGACGGCATGATAGACAGAGGAATATAAAGAGCTGCCCCCCCAGGTCAGCTGGGCGATTCACGCCCCCTTAACATCATCCAGTCTACTGCTACCCCCAAGTGACCTGATACACGGAGAGCAGTACAGACAAGCCATGCGTCTTGATAGAACCATCGCCGCCGCGCTGGCCCTCTCGGTCACCGGTGCCGACGCCCAGCGCACACAGTGTGTTGTCAAGTCTCAGTACAAGTGCAGCGGCGGCAAGTCCTCGGACTCGCCTGCCATCGAGGAGGCCTTCAAGAAGTGCGCCAAGGATGCCGAGATCGTCTTCTCCGAGGGCGTCGAGTACAACGTCTTCTCGCCGCTCAAGGTCAGCGGCCTGTCCAACGTCATCGTGCATCACCTTGGCAACCTTAACCTGCCGCAGAACGTGACCTACATGCAGGAGGTCACGGCCAAGAACGGCGGCTCGCTCAAGTGGTTCGATATCAGGGGTGATAGTGTGAGCTGGATTGGCACGTCCAACGTATGGAACACATTTATACTTCTAATCTTGAGAGTGGAACGGAAGCTGACCAAGGGCCCACCAGATCACCACCGGCTGGTTCAGGGGTTACGGCCAGAACTGGTACGACGCCAACCCGCCTGGCGGCACCGGCCTGCCCAACCGCCCGCACCTAATGTACTTTGGCGTCAACAACGGCTACGGCGAGTACTGGAAGTCGTCCAAGCCACCCGGCGCCAACTTCCAGCTGGCCGGCAAGAACATCACCATCCGCAAGCCCATCATCGACGCCGTGTCGAGCTCGTCATCCTTCCCTTTCAACACGGACGGCTTCGGCTGTGGCGCCGAGGACCTGACCATCGAGGACGCCGTTATCTACAACGGCGACGACGCCTTTGCTGTCGGCTCGGGCGCGCGCAACGTTGTCGTGCGCCGCGCCACCATCGGCTACCAGACGCACGGCATGAGCATTGGCTCACTGGGCAAGGACCCGAGCAAGCCTGCCTCCGTGTCCAACATACTCTTTGACGACGTCACCGTCGCGGGCGGGCTGTACGCCGCGCGCTTCAAGTCGTGGTCCGGCGGTCAGGGCCTCGCCAAGGATGTCACCTGGCAGAACATAAGGGTGTACAACGTCTCGTTCCCCATCTTCGTCACGCAGGTCTACTACGACCAGGCCAAGACGCCTGGTGGGCCGGGGGGCAACGGCACGACGCAGGCGGTCAACATGGAGAACTTTTCGTGGGTCAACTTCACGGGCAGCGTCAACAGCTTTAATTCCGGCGACGGGTCGTGCGCGAGCAAACCCTGCTGGTATGACATTGGCTTACCCAGCAACCTCAACCACACCGAGGCGGCCATCATCCAGTGCGCGACCGAGACGTCGTGCAAGAACTTCAAGGTGGAGAACGTGCGTCTGTTTCCGGACAGCGGGGAGGCGCCGACGCAGATATGCCAGGGGGTGTCGGCCGAGACGAGCCCGCACTTCGGGCTCGTGTGTGCCAATGTGCCTCATGCGATACCGCTTGTGCCGATTTCGTAAGGAGTGTTGAGTCAATAATTCATGAAATGATACATTTATCACGGTATCAGAAACGAGATGTGCTATTGTGCTTCTACGATGCTATGGAAACAAAGGGTATTATGGCCCTCTGCACAGAACACTGAACCAGCAATGTTCCTATGCTTCCACGGGGGCCCTTGCGATCCATGTACCAAACTTCGTCGAGAGAAGCTCAGAGCATGCCTTGTGATTCCTCTAAGTAACAGCGATCTAGACTACTCCTCGCTTCTGCAGACTTCGTAGTAGTCCATCCAGAGCTGGTATGCGCGCTCCTCGGATAGGGTCTCGCGGAAGTGCCTCATGGTCGTGGCGATGCGGTGGTCCATCTTCCTGATCTTCTCGCGCATGTTTTCAGCCTCATCTATGACGACTTCCTTGTTAAAGGCCAGCTGGACGATGGCCTGGTCGGTGACGCCCAGCTTCTCGTCGTAGTCGGCAAAGAGCTTGTTGACCTTGTCCACTGAGCGCCGCATGTCTGCCTCAAACGCTTCCAATCGTGCCGTCAACGCGTCAATCTTTTCGTCCTGATCCTTGAACTTAGTCGCCATGATGCTGGAGCGCTCCTGGCTGAGGTCCTGCTCGTCCCTTTATGAGCAAAATGACAAGAGGGGTGGCCCAGAGGTTGGCACACTTACAGCGGCATCTTGGTGATTCTGCAACTCCTCTTTGGCCTTCTCGGCCGCGCGGGCAAGGCGATTGCTCTTGCGATAGGGCGATTTGGTGTCTGTCTTCTTTTGACTGTGTTAACTAGATCACCAGGCAAGAAATGGATATCAGATCGTTACGAACCTGGGTCTCTGGAGCGTCCCCGCTGACCTTGGCCGCTTCACGAAGCGCCTTCATCTCTCTCGCCTTCTTCTCCCGGAATCGCTGTCTCTGTGACTTCCTGTTCTTGCCAGCCTATATCAACAGCAGACATTAGAACTAGAAAACGGAAACTGTACAGTAGAAGATGGCTTGCCATCGTAGAGACTCTTGGAGCCGCCAAAGTCTGATATTATGTTGGACAATGTCGCCGTTCCAGATGTGACAAGCAGAGTTGGCAAACAGCAGACATCAGCTAGCGTTAGGCAGTAATTGGAGACCCTGGGTCCGCGCTAAAAGGGGCTGTTGAGTGTGGTGACTTGCCAGGGTCGCAAATGAGCTTCAGTCCAAACGTGACCCCAACTTGACTTTGTTCTCACCCTCAACTTTACCACCACGAAATATTTAATGAAACAACTCAAATACCCTCATCTACCTGCAAACTCCCGACCTCACCGCCTTGGGCAGAACTTACTATAAAACCCCTCGCTGCCTCCCCTCTTTCAAAAGAATTTCCTCACTCCTCCAACTTCTTTTCCAAGCTCCTTTCTCTCACAACACACAAGCCCCACCTCTTCAAAATCCATTCACTTATCCAGCATCCATAATCAGATCAAGACAGTGTGTCGATTCTTTCAGGTAAGTCCAGCACTCTCTGCTCCTTCCAGGCCCCAAGCCTTCGGGTCACGCTTCCGCCGCCACAAACACTCGCGATGAAACGCAAAATCCCCTCAGCCGTGGATGGGCTTCATACCCTTGTTCTACTCTACAGATCAGGTGGGAAGAACGGCTTCAGGATCATCTTTATTGGGGCACCTTTTCTAGACTGATGTCTCCCTTTGCTTCGCCTATGACTCAATCTTTGATGAGGTTGGCATTGGGATCTGAAGTCCACTCAGAGACAACTCTGAGGAAAGCCCCCCGCCCCGTGAAGTTGTCGATCCGCGAGCGGTTTCTCCATTTCCTCCTCGCTTGCGAAGGGTTGAGAGATGAGCTAATCCCGGCTGCTCATCAACGCTGGGTGAAGGTACTCATCTACCAACGGAGAAATACGGCGCGCGTTTCCTGAAGGCCTGGTCGAGGACTTACTCAGCGTTTCCAACCGACGCTGACTGGTACTTTTTTTCTTCTCTAGGGCATCTCTCATCACCGGCAAGAGTCTGCTTCATCACTCTGCAAGAATCTGAGGTTATCATGTCGCGGAGTTGGCGGGGCAAGGTTGGTTGATCGAGATGTCACACATGTACCTTTATGTACCATAGGATACCTAGGTAGAGATGCATTTTCAATCATCAAAACACTTTAATGCATTGCATTTCGGTCCTACTTGAAGTGTTCTTCTTGTCTCTTGCAGAAACAATAAGTGAAATGTGTGAATGTCATCTTGAAGGTACACCTCGCCACCGCCGCATGACTTTGCTCACGCACAAAACTTGCAACGTAGGACCCACAAGGATATGGACCATCGGTATATGCCTGACCGGCATCATAACATGCACTTCAATGCCTCAAGGGAAACACGGTCCAGGTGAAACTTGTCATAACATGCACTCCAATGCCTCAATGGAAACACGGTCTAGGTGAAACTTGTATTGACTACTGGTAGGTAGTTCAGTTTACCAGACCTAGAGAAACTCGAGAAATTGCCATGACCAGTGCCTACAAACACTTTTGCAAACACCCAAACCTTGATTTCAAACTGATAACCGGTAACAGCTTTGTAGCTCTAAAACCCACGCTTCTCGAGGTCCTCAGCAGTAGCAGAGACCTTCATCATGTCAGCTGTAAGCCCCCGAAAGAGAAGAGGTCATGGATGTCTACCTCCATGGCATCTACCTTGAGAACAAGCATAAGGGCCTGGACGCAGAGCTCAAGCTTATGAATGCGGTGCTCCATCTCCTTGACATTAACGACGAGCTTCTTCTGGTCCTTCTCGTGGGCCTCCAAGAAGCTGTGGCGAAACTCTTCGAGGTACGGAATAATGGCCTCACTGGCCGCATTTCGGATGTCGATGGGGTTGGTAGGATCTCTAGAGGCCAGGAATGCCTGTTGGATGGTCTCTAAGAGATTGTCGGCATCGGAACGCTCCTTATCAGCCTGAGAAACACCGAAGGGCTGAGAAACAGTCAACAATCTGCATATACCAGAGAGTATCGAACATCCAAGAGCATGACTCACGACCATTGACGCAATCTGCTCCATGGCTGACATGGGCTTGTCGTTGCCCGCATGCTGGTTGTTGGCTTTGGGGCGGAGGGGAGTAGAAGGACCCTAGTAGTCGAGAGTGAAGAGGATACAGTCAGTAACAGATGCAAACACGGTGCTATCAGCTCGCAGTTGCCATCAGACTCGTATGCAGTATTACCAAATACTGATACTGGAGGAGCAAAAGAATTCTGCACTTACAGGAGCTTCACCCAAAGCATCAGGCATCTCCTTGTCAGTGGTAGCCTGAGGGTCGGCCTTGGTGGTGTTGGAAGACATCTGAAATTTGTACAAGATTAGTGAGGATGCGACAATGGTGAACGAGATCGGTTGAGACGATAATATGATGGTCGACAGACACGTCGCTTGGTTGGGTGCAGGAACGAGAGAGAAACAGTGAGCAGTAGATGATGGATCTCGCGGGTGTCACCAAATCTCACCTTTTGGACGATGTGCTGGGGTTGATGGACGTGAAGCTCGATTTTGACAGTCTCGAGGGTTGGGGGAACGAAGTCGTGGTTGTTGAAACGTGCGATGAAGGTTGGAACAAGGGAAAATGGTGCTTCCCGGCTGCCTATCCTGTCACGAAACCTAGGATTCTCACTTCCCGAAACCACAACAGAACCTCTGGATACTAAAGGGGGATGCCTGCCTCAACTTCTCTCAAGGTACGTTCTTTCTCAACTATATCGAGTGTTGTTATTAACATCGCGGTTACACCTTGCTGCCGTGTCACTGCTTGTTCATCATACTATTACGCTTTGTCTGAATTAAGGAAAAGAAGGTGCAAGAGATGTGCCAGATCGATATGCAACTGTCCAAAGTTTCTCCCCCAAACAAACCCATAACGCCTAACCACCAAGAATACCGAATCGACCTGTCTAATGTACTTCTTGATTGAACTCTTCCACTCTTGCAGATCCCAGCAATCCAGCATCATCGTGTCTCCCCAACACTCAGTCCTTCCATCGACCTCGTCATCCCCGTGAACGGGCACACGCCCGCCGCCCCTGCAGCCGCACTGCTCCCGCCCCCGCTCCCGCTCCCACCAGGTGACGCCCGCGTCGGGGATTTTGGCGTGGGGATCTTGCTCGGCGTCGTGGGCGTCGTCACCGTGCTGGCCGCCGAGGTCCCCGACGACGACTCGGGCCCGTCGCCGCCGCTGTCCGACTCCATCTCCTCGTCCGTTAGGATCTTCTTGCCATGCAGGTAGCCTTCACGCTCGACGACGATCTCCTCCTCCTTTTCGCCCGCGAACTCCTCGCCGTCGCGCACGTACCACTTGGCGAAGAGGTCGTTCTGGATCCAGATGACCTTGCCCAGGGCCTTGACGATGGCGATCTTGCGCGTGATGTGCAGGCGCGGATGCGACAGGATGGCCTCGGTCAGGATGTCCTGGATGATGGACAGAGCAGCGCCGATGTGGATGTACTCGACGTGCAGCGGATGTGCGCGGCCGAGGCCAACATGCATCATGCTGTGGGTTTCTATGTCAGTCGTCTGTTTCTCTCCCCCATCCATTCATGGCCAGTTGAGTTCCTGGCAAGAAAAAACTTACCCGACTTTGTCGAGATACTCCCAAAACTCCATTTCGCTCGGGTCGGAGCAGATCTTGGTCAGGTAGGCGCGCAGAAACATCTTGCGGTGCATGACCTGCGGGCTGTTCTCGTCGGGCTGCTCGTCCATGGGGCCCTCGAAGCTCGTGCTGCGGGTCGTGAACGCGCGTGCTGTGATGTCGTACTGCAACAGCTTCTTGTAGACGATGTTGACGACGGCCGGAATCAAGGCCTTGATGTACTTGGCGCCTGATACTAGCGCTTCGATGTCATCTGCCACAGGGTCAGTGATCATGATCTTGGCTATTCTCCACGGACTGTTCACCTACTGGTACTAAAGTCGAGGAAAGAGTGGAGATAGTGTATCCTGGCCTCGAGGTTTGTGTACAGCTCCTTCCTGTCGATGTGCTGCAT